CTACACATGGATCTAATACCTCATTAATGATATATGACAGCGCGGATCAATGTGAGGGCCCTGTGTGTGTGTGTGTGTGTGTGTGTGTGCATGCGTGCGTGTGATGGGGGTATATTGGCTTAATGGGAACATGCTGTCGAACAACTTAGAGACCCGATCATAGCTGGATGCATTACATTTGGTGGAGAAACGAGGTGGGATTGCAATTGATGCTTTTGAAAAATGTATTTAAAGCAGAATTTCAGACTGGAAGACGACCTGCGGCAGTTCTATCGCATCTAGGGCCAGCCCCTTCACCCTCAGCTTATCACACAGCTCTGCCAACTTCTCTGCCAACCAAGCGGCCAGTTTAAAAGCAGAAACTTCCCACCAACTATTTCCACCTCTTTGCCTCTGGTCCCTTTGCAGACATACATATTAATCATGATCTTGCTCTTATGCCACCTTTAGTGCCTAGGCCCCGGAGGACCAGAGATCATCTCATATCAAGCAATGATCTCCCCTGATCAAGTGTCACTGCTGGGGACTATGTGCCAATAAATCTATTAAATGCATCATCTGTGTCCGTCTAGTCTCTCCAGATTGAATTAAGTTTTGATTGTTCTTTGTACAATGGTTGACCAACAAGGCATTTCATCAGGGAGCACACTGGTTTTGCATCAGTTCTACACATAGAGCGAAAGCATTACATACCAAAATGTTCACTACCATGTATGAAAATCAAAATGCATACCAATAATGTTTGATTTTCTTTAAAGTGAATGTCAGTTACTTTTCAAACTGACGAGCGATTGAAACTTTTTGACAAGCTCTGGTTAGACTTGTCCTTGGTCATCCCCGCAGCTTCCGAATTGGTCGAAATGAGTTCAAATCCTTCAGGCCCCTCGTCCCTTGGCTCCTTGGTTTAACAAATCTTCTCTAGAAAATCTGAGTGGTGGTTATGCCAAGTGAAAGGACTATTCTGAATATATTAATGTTCAAATACGTGCTGTTCATAATAACACACACAATATCACCAAGTAATTAACAGTCCAGGATAACTGTTACAATCCTGGACGCACTTACATTTACCCTAATCCTAGCCCTAACCATGATGAACCCTAGCCCTAACCTTAATATTTAGTCAGCTACCAATGTTGTGCAAGTCCTCTCAGTTAAAAAAATTGAGAGATTCTTTTAAGTTTCATCATAGTTATACCTTTTCTGTGGAAGACAAAGTGAGAGTGAGTGTGAGTGAGTGGCAAGAGCTCTGGTGTGTGTCGTCTGGTGCACACTGGGGTAGTCGTGTACAGTTTTTCCTATGTGGTTTTACTGCAAATGGCAAATAAATGAATCTGAATCTGAATCTGAAGACAAAATCCAGAAAATCACAAAGAATTTATTAGCAAGTTATGGTGAAAAATATGTATTTAGTCAATAACAAAAGTCCATCTCAAAATTTACGTTATACTGTATACTCTGTGTTGGCAACGACAGAGGTCAAACGTTTATTGTTTTCACAAGGTTTCCACACACTGTTTCAGGTCTATTGACCCATTTCCATTCCTTTCAACAAAAGATTCAAAGACACAAGATTTAAGCAGCCCATAGTATGTGTATGGACTCCCAAGCTCATAGTAACTCATTCATAAGAAACGTGGGATTAAAAAAGCCGCTGATATGAAGCCTGATATTTATCCACTCCAAGCGTCAAATATATAGTCGACTATCGCTTGGACGCCCAAATAACATCCCATAGCACGAGATTGAATTCCTGTTTACAGCGCTCCAAGGTTGACTGTAGACTTACAACGGCTAAGAACCGCGGCACACTTGACCTCGCGACATTCCATTTGCAGAGACGCGTGTGGCCGTGTAATAAACCCGGCTAGATCAAACTTTGGATTTGATTCCGTGAGCTCGGCCATTCCACCCTGGCAAGCATTCAACACTTTATTCCTTTATTACATGGCGCTAGCTCTCCCAGAATGCCATTTTTATCCACATATCCAGCCAGTGAATCACCATTAAAAGGCCCCATCAAGCTGTCAGAGCGGGAGGGGGGTGCAGCCTTTCTCTCTCGTGTCGCAGTAAACACGGGTAAGAGTGGGAATATTGGAAGTCCGGGGTGCTCTGTGTGCGGTGAGAGAAGACTTACAGGGATTCACTTTGAGCCACTGTGGAATGTTTCGTATGAGAGGTTAAAATAGGTTGAGTGCTGAGAGGGGTATTCTTTTATTTCATTAAAAACTTCAACTGTGACAGTTAACGGGCAAAAGATGAAGGAATAGGAGCAAAAACAACAGCAACTTCTATGTGCCTCCTTTTTACACCTTTACTAAAACTCACTCACACAATACATCGATGAATCTACTGTTTCATGTGACTTTAAACTAGTTTTAGGTACGCTTTTTACCATCGATCCATTTTCTTCTACTTTATTTGTTGCCTGGTCTCGGGGCCAGCAGTCCAAGCAAAGACGTCCAGACTTCCTCATCCACATACACTTCCTTCATCTCATCTCAGAGACGCATTTATGTATTTGATATTGTCTGACCAAACTCTGGTGTCTTTATCAAGACCAGAGCTGGAGGATTTTACCTACAGTATGGTGCATATTTTGGGGATGGAGGAAACTGGAGCGCCCTGGAGAAATCCACTCAGTCATGGGAAGAAACATGCAAACTCCACACAGAAAGGCCTGGACTAGCAGAAGGAAAGAAAAGAGGGCTCCACACAGACTCTGTGCTGCCAGTAATAGTGAAAGGCCAGACAAGGTCAAGGAAAGTGCACGTTATAAGGTTTGGGTGGATGGCATAGGTCAGAAAAGGTTACAAATAAATGAAAATATACCCATCCTGTCATGAGGGGGTGTCAAACCAGGTTTGGACACGAGGAGACCCCCAGAGAAACTAAGCAGTGACTAATGACTGAAAAGATATGAACTTTTATTTGAAAATCCTTTTAAAAACTTGTTTAGAATGTAGAATACCACTAACCTTACCAGCACGACTGGAAATCTATAACAAATCTGATAGTAATTCAATACTGAATGAGAATGTGCACAGGCAGGGGCAAACTCTGTGAAAGACACTTGTCTCTCGTTCAGTGAGAGAAAAGTTGCAGTACCTCGCAGAAATTCACAAATGCGTGATTCCATGGTGCAGATAGGTCATGACTACGGGACAGCAGTGTGATTTGGGGTGGGATATGGCCCCAACCCTGAGTGTAATAATGACCAGAACCAGAGTGGACTTGTAGAAACAATACAATCTGGTTTTACGTCTGTCTACATACGCAAACATGACTCTATGTGCTAAAATGTATATTAGCACATTAGCCTTTGACTAATATTTTTACTTAAGTCTAAAAGAAAAACAGCAGCCTCTGCCAATGGAGCAATCAACCATCTCCCACAACACTTACCGCTCAACCTACTCAAGTCTTGGCACCACATTTTATGCCACAAAAAACAAGTATTAGGCAAAATCTTTGAAGAGTAGCCCTCTAAATAATGCATGCACCGGCAAAACTTAGACAATCATCACCTTGAACACTTTGCATAGAGCATTTTATTATTGTGCTCGGATGATCGGCGACAGTAAAAAGCCTTAGATCTGACAACTTTCCATTCATTATCTCATCCGTGCAATTTCCCAGCATTTATTCTTATTTTTTTGTCCACACCGCAAAGTGTTGGACTTAACCATGGGAGACACCAGGCAATTACCCGTGAGTTTCGTCTCCCTGTCGAGGTCATCGCGAAAGAATGAAAGTCTCAAAGAAAAACAAATATGCGTAGTTGTCACACGCTTCAGTAGCACATGTGAAGCCTGTCTCCTTCCGCTTTTATATTCTCAAATAAATTGCCCCAAAGATGTTGCCTTAATGTGTCCAGCATAGAGCTCAATGGAAATAAGGGGCATTTTTCACGATTTGGGAAAGCGCTTTACACTCTTTATTGTCTTTTTGACTGACATCAGTGGTCCATTAGGGAAATATGCGGCTCAAATGGGCAGCGATTGGCAAAAATGATCTGGAAGAGTTTTTCAATGGTGAGGGTGAAACCGTAAAGCTGCAGACAATTAGGTAAGTGACGAATAAAATGTGACTGTAGTGGTGTTGCTAAGTGAGTTCTAAACCACAGGGTGACTTTGAAATTGTTTGGCTTTAGACGGAGGGAAAACTAGAGAAATGTTGTAGTTCTTGATCTTGTCTTGTGTTTATCAGGAAGCTGAGTAAAATTGGTTTTGCCCAAGTGCAGACATGTTGTAAAAGTAGATAGAGATGAAAATATAACATTTTTTTTTAGTGTAAATGGCAAAATTGTGAAAATGTGTGTGAATGGATTAGTGGCTCTCATCGAGTGCTCTGACTGCTTTGAAAGAAAAGTGCCATTTGCGACCATTTAATCACTCAAAAAGTGATTTTTTTATTTACAGAAAGCTTTTCATGACACTCAAAAGGCTTCACATGGCATTGTTTATGCACTCCATACAGTGTGGTATTAACCTACTGCTGAAGCCACAGCTGCCCTGGGAAGCAAGGTTTCTAGTCTGTGCCATCGGCCCCTCCGACTACCGCCGGTCATTCACGCACACCCCAGATATGTATGCTATGTGTGTCAAGTGTCATTCACAGTGGGACGCCTCTGTGGCACCAGGTGTTTTAGAGGTCTCCCATCACAGCACTAACCAGGCCCTGTCCTACTTAGCTTCTAAACATTTAAAGTTATTACCACAGGACATGTTAACTAAGGGCTTGGCGGTACAGTAGTCTTTTGTTGTCCCTAACCTCAAAGTAGTTAGCACTGGGACGGCACGTCCCGCTAGGCCGTGTCTGGTTGTCGTTAGCCGCGGCGGCCCACAGCTCAGGCAGGTGCGGCCGCGATGCTTGAGGTCCGCTGACAGATTGACCAAACTGTAAGAGATATTATCGGAGGGGAGTGAAAACAGCACTCCGCGGGTCTGACAGCCAAGACGGACACGTTCAAACACAAAACGCTCCCCCACCACTCACCCATGGGTCCTCACATCTGGCCGGGCTTACCACGGGCTAACGGCGAGGGCCAGAGGAGGAGAGGGGGGGGAGGGGGGAGCTGTCAGGGAAGGACCAATACAGGCTTTGCACCACTGAGGGAGCAATAGGAAGGGCCCCCGCAAAACACTATTTTTACTTTTGAATTGTCACCACCAACGTTCCAGCATAAAGACCCCACAGAGAGGATCCAAATCTGAATATAGAACTGTTCATTCAGAATGTTCACATTTTCAATGTTGGGATGTTTTGTCAGAATTTCCTAAATTGCTTGAATACAGAATATTTAAAGAAACAATATGACGCACTTTCTGTGTTCATGTTTCCGCTGACATGAGATCCTGAGACTTTGCATTTCATATAGAATGTGAAATGATATCTTATCATGAAATTTTTGTGTGAAAATACATAAAAAAGAAAAAGGAATAAGCTCTGTGTGATAGCTTGACCAGTATGGAAAAAAGAAAAAAAAAAATCTCTAATGGTCCTTTTCTATTATTTTGTATATGGCTTGAACACTTTTACGCCATTACAAGTTGGTAATAGCAAAAATTTCCACTATTTACAAAATGCTAAAAAATGGCTTAATTTCCCTTCCCTTGTGTTTTTTGACCCGTGTTGAAATGGCATGGCGACCATTGGGACAACAGAGGGAAAGGTTGGTGTGTTTTTAGACCCAGGTTAGAAAAAACTCATGACTTTCAAATCAGAGAATCACATTATAATGGACGGAAAGTTACATATGGAGGAATATTACCATTTTCAAACATATTTCATATGTCTGGTATATTTTAACACACCAGCCCATGTTCCTCAAGGAGAAGCCTGGGGTTTTTAGGTGACATTTTTGCTTGAGTTTTTGCTCAGTGTGAATGATGTTATAACTTAACAATAAAACAGTAGAATCTACCAAAGTTTAGTCATGACGGTTGCTCTTGACACATAAAAACAGATCACAAAATCTGTCTGTAGAACATGAGCAGCTAGACTTTGATTTATACTCCAGGTAATAAATCATGAACTTCAAATCCCCAAATGACTGAAGTCCTCTGTGTCTTCTATGGGGTTGAAACATGATCTTTCTAACTTTTGGGCTTCACTGTGACCACCACCTCCCAGTTCCACAACATCATTTGTCACACGTGATTGCAAAGTCGACATACACACACTTTGCTTCGGCCCCCAGCAGTTTTGGCTTTCTTTCCTTGGATTTGAAAAGGCCACGGGGTCAACGCAGAGTGGCTGCCGGATACTACTCTGGGTCACGTCGCAGGTCTCCTTGCTCTAGTACACTGCACGGCTTATTGCGCATAAGGCTTGATTGCAAACTCAAAATCCCATTGCAGCTTGCTTACATTTCGCCCATTTTTTGGCTCATCCAGGAAGGTTCCAGCCCATTAATACATTTGAAACGGCAACTCAAACCCGCACACAGAAGGGGTTTGCATTATAAGGCTATTTTGAAACAGGAGAACCTTGTGTAAAACTTACGTATCATCCTTCGACTTTTCCTCACCGCCGAGATCTGCAGCCAATTTTCTTGCAATTTGCGATAAATTGTTTGTGAAATCCACATTGATGCCTCCGCTGGGAACTCATTCACAAAAAAACTCTGAAGGATTTGGCTTGTGACATCATTTGCTTCCTCTTTTGGGGGAGCTTTCATTTAATCAAAATATGCTGGAGAAAGAGGACATACTTGGCTCGTACCCCGGGTGATCAAAGTTGAAAATGGAGGGATGTGACATAGACAGATGTTTGCATAAGCGTGGGGTATGTGTTTTGTGGTGAGGGGATTGGGGTCAGTGGTGGAGCAGTCACTTTGGTCTCGCAGTGTATTTCAAGACTTATTCACTCAAAGTCCCATTGTCAAAGCAGTTGTGAAGTGCACCAGGGCATTGCAACATCAAATCAAAATAAATAAATAAAATGTGCAATGTTTTATATACACATTTTTGAGCACTCAAAAACGCGTCACTTGTCATTCATTATTCATTCACTCTATACAAAATGTTACGGGAGCCACAAGTGCCCTGAGGCAGACTAATGAAAGCCAGTCAGCTAATCTGTGCCATCTGCCCTTCGACCACCAATCATTCACGCACACCCCAGACAAGTCATGCCTTAGGCCACGACAACTGTTGGGGGATTTCCCAAAGGTCTCCCATCACAGTACTAACCAGACTCTTCCCTTAGCTTAACTTTCACGCAGAGCCAAAAAAGATTTGTTCCATTTCAAGTGCAGTGGAATGAATGTGATTTTAAAGACAGCCACAACATAGTGTTTGTTCTGGACACATCTGGATTATATTTTTTATATTTTTTTGGCTTTTGTTAGGGCTTGGAAACTCAAACAAGATGCAAAAAATGTAGTTTAATGAACACGTCTTGGTCCCAGGTCTGGTAATTTCTCTAGTTTTCTGCACAGGAGAGAGCAACACAAGAGAACGCAGATAAGTGAAGGTAAGTATCAAAATCTCTCAAACAAAACCGACTGAAAATCACGGTGGATTTGACGCAATGATCTCGTAGAGTCGTTCCGGGTCAATGTAGACTGCTTGATTGCATGTTTTGCAAATCTCATACTCATTACACATGGTTTTCCGTACTTTCACCACTTCTGCTGTTCTGCATTGATGTTGAGGAAATATCATGAACAAGTGAAAAGTGTGATCCAAATATGTTTCTATAACAACTCAAAATCCTCATCAATACACTCCTCTGTCTCCTCTGGTCCTCTTTCTCCTCCCTCTGGTCCTCTGTCCCCTCCCTCTTGTCTTCTGTCCCCTCCCTCTGGTCCTCTGTATCCTCCCTCTGGTCCTCTGTCTCCTCCCTCTGGTCCTCTGTCCCCTCCCTCTGGTCCTCAGTCTCCTCCCTCTGGTCCTCTGTCTCCTCCCTCTGGTCCTCTGCTCCCTCTGGTCCTCTGTCCCCTCCCTCTGGTCCTCAGTCTCCTCCATCTGGTCCTCTGTCTCCTCCCTCTGGTCCTCTGCTCCCTCTGGTCCTCAGTCCCCTCCCTCTGGTCCTCAGTCTCCTCCCTCTGGTCCTCTGTCTCCTCCCTCTGGTCCTCTGCTCCCTCTGGTTCTCTGTCCCCTCCCTCTGGTCCTCAGTCTCCTCCATCTGGTCCTCTGTCTCCTCCCTCTGGTCCTCTGCTCCCTCTGGTCCTCTGTCCCCTCCCTCTGGTCCTCAGTCTCCTCCCTCTGGTCCTCTGTCCCCTCCCTCTTGTCTTCTGTCTCCTTCCTCTGGTCCTCTGTATCCTCCCTCTGGTCCTCTGTCGCCTCCCTCTGGTCCTCTGTACCCTCCCTCTGGTCCTCTGTCTCCTCCCTCTGGTCCTCTGTCTCCTCCCTCTGGTCCTCAGTCTCCTCCCTCTGGTCCTCTGTCTCCTCCCTCTGGTCCTCTGTCTCCTCCCTCTGGTCCTCAGTCTCCTCCCTCTGGTCTTCTGTCTCCTTTCTCTGGTCCTATGTCCCCTCCCTCTTGTCTTCTGTCTCCTCCCTCTGGTCCTCAGTCTCCTCCCTCTGGTCCTCTGTCTCCTCCCTCTGGTCCTCTGTCTCCTCCCTCTGGTCCTCAGTCTCCTCCCTCTGGTCCTCTGTCTCCTCCCTCTGGTCCTCTGTCTCCTCCCTCTGGTCCTCTGTATCCTCCCTCTGGTCTTCTGTCTCCTTCCTCTGGTCCTCTGTCTCCTCCCTCTGGGCCTCTGTCTCCTCCCTCTGGTCCTCTGTCTTCTCCCTCTGGTCATCTGTCCCCTCCCTCTGGTCCTCTGTCCCCTCCCTCTGTCCCTATAGTAAATATTCTCGTGACCACTCTAAAGAGCCAAAATGACCATAAATAACTTATCGTTTGTGTTGTTAAATACCACACACCTCTATTTACTCTCACTGATTATATATTAACCTCTTCTTTCCTGGGCCTATGTTACCGAACGCCCTGAGACACCTCCACGTCAGTAAAAGCAGCACATTGGTCTAATTATCTGGAAGGTTAACTGCTCTTCTTTCGCTCTTTTGGACATTGGATATTTCCCATGCCACTCGCCGCGCTCTAGGTGTTTATTACCAATATCATATCCATAAGCAGGTCTTACATTAGGCCGGGCGCAGGGGGAAAAAGGAGCCTCCAGGTCGGTTTCAAAACTAGTGAATATTTTATCCTGTGTGCCGCGGTAATGATGACTATTGATCTCTCATCATCTCTTATTAATGCAGTCTGGTGCCAGAGGATAAAGATAATCACATATTAGCACTACGTATTTCATCACACGTGGGGGTAAGAGTGAGCTTAAGGAATGTCTCTATCGTAGGGGTTCAATATTTATTTAGAATTGAGTTATGTGAGAGTGGAACCATGAAAATTATGGAGAGGGAATTGACCCAACATCTTTTACTTCTGTTTGATCGATCAATTGCAAATGTCCTATTTTATAGTGAGTGATGCAAATTTGTTGAATTGAGTATCAGTTCTATACAATAAAGATGTAATTCCTATGTGACCTTTCAACAGCAAGTGTATAGATGACATCACACACTCAGGTGGAGAAAAGGGCCTTTACCTATGAGGAAGCCAAATATAAATGTAAACTCTCCAAAAGTCAGCTGGCAATTTTTCTATAGCCACGTTTCCACCCCAGCAGTTCCTGGTAAAAGGAGCGGGGTGGAACTTTTACACGTACATTCATCTGTGGGAACAACCAGGGGTGATTTTACACATTCAGGATCAGGGACGCTTTGAGGACCATTCACACCACTGACACAACTCATGCTTGAACCAGCAGTAGGATATGTTTAAAAATCCCCCTAAATGTTGTTTTCTATAAATTGTAGAGGTGCTTGACATAAAAGACCTAAAAAAGTAGCTCAGTAACAAGAGCTCACTCTGTTTGGCCTACCTACTCACAGTGTTGAATAAAAGCATTTTAGCATGTTAGGTGTGGTTCTTTTGGCACCTCTTGCTATTTCTGAGTAACTCCTCATTGTTATTATGCCCTGTATTCACTATTCGCAGATGGTATACTCGGGACATGCTTCAATAGTATTTCTCATTTCCCTGCATTTGATTCAAACAGTTTTTGTGTATAAAAACGTGCAGATTCTCTTGAACTTTTGTTGATGAAACACATTTTCTTAGCTTTTGTCTGTGTTGGAGCATTTTATCTCACATTTCCTGCAATGAAGAAAAAATAACAGACGGTTCTTTCTACATGATCTAGAAACATGGCATGTTAAACCCTGTCCCAAGATGAATTTCTACTTTTTTGATCTTGAATAAGGGAATAAGTTCATAAATTGTTTTTGTTTTTCATTCCATTCACTATCTTTCAAGTCATTCACGCAGTTGTTTGACATGTGCTCTGCAAAAAAAACCTGAATAATTATATCAATAAAGATTACTTACTAATTGCAATGTTTGCCAGAAAAATCACCATTATACTGTATAATTTGCTAAAATGGTGCTATTATCCAGTCAGATAAGTGAATGGATCCATTGATAAAACAAGAAAAATCTCCAGCTGAGATCGTCTTTTACTTTGAAGATGAGATTCTGATTAAAGGAAAGGCAATATTTCGGCCCCTCTCTATACTCACCTCAGAAAACACTTATTTTTGCAGTTGAGGGACAATAGAACAAGTGCTATGACAAAGTAGTATCGCCCACACGGTGTCAGGCTGCACAGAGAGTAGGGCCTCCTCTCTGGGACGCAGCCCTCTCTGGTTTCAGCGCATGAATCAGGAGCAAATGAAAGGCACTCCAGACGATGGCTTTCATTTATGCGCCGCCGCGGATATTGAAGTGCATTAAATGTAACGCGATCACATGATTCGATGGTGAATTCATCTGTTTGCCTGAGTGACTGCTTTTAAAAATAGAGGCTGTGATGGATTACACGCCTGCTGCAGCTATTATCCGCCGAGTAGCGTTTGCATTTTTGAATGTATGGAAGCCATGATTTTACCTTATCTTTGGTCTGTTACAATTAATTCATACTTTATCCCGGGACTTTAAGACCAGATGTATAATTGACTACGCTATTCTGTTGTTCTTTCTGCTCCCTCGTTCCTCTAAATTAATATTAACTTAAATAATCTCTCTTAAAGTATCTTGTTGTATTAAGGTATATATTTCAGGGACAGAGCATGTTAATGAATATTTCTGTAAATATGCCAGAATTATCCACAAGGATATTTTTATCTGTAGTACAATCTTATACAACATGTGGTCCTGGACAAACAAAGTGTTGGAGTAATGTCAGATGGTTCTTCATGTAAATCTTGAATACTTTTATCACTGAGCAATTTTCTGGCTATTTTCTCTGCGGTTCGGGCCCTGGTTCGTCCCATTCCAGTGGGATGACTGTGGCTCTAATGAAAACTGTTCTGAGAGTGCACCCACATTGTCCAGTATGAGGGTAGTGTGTAATAGAATGATGGTGTCACGTGTGCTGCAGTCTGTCCCAGGACAGCTGTGGCTATCGTAGTATTGCTTGTGTGTGGAATGAATAAGCACTATATAAATAAATATCACTGACTTACCTAAAGACCCCTTTCCTGTCGGTGAACAAGTCCTTCTACGTGCACAACAGTTTAGTGGCAGATATTTAGCTACCACATTAGCTCGTGATGATGACAGCTCACTACAACTGTTTATCACTGATGTATTGATTGTGTTATGCTGCAATGGAACATTGGTGAATGGGACACATATAGAGACCTGTGCGTTGGCGGCAGGTGCGTAGATGAATGACGAGAAACAACAATCCAAACTTCAGTGACCGAACATCCACTAAAAACTGGATTTTGTCAAAGCAGCCAACAGCTCAGTAAGACATGGAGGTATGTTTTAATCCTGCAAACGCCAGGCACAGTAGAGTGGAGTGACATAGGCTGATAGTCTGTCCATAACATAGGAGAGGTAAGTTTATTTGTATAACACAAATGTGCTTAACAAAACATAGAAATTATAAATAATCACAGTGCAATAACATGAGTGTGTCACATTTTCAGGAAGACTGTTCCAGATTTTAGCTTCATAAATTGGAAACACTGCCTCCCCATGTTTAATCCTGACTCTGAGCACCAGCAGGAGGCCAGTCCCTGGGCTCCTCAGAGTCAGAGGCTGTTACTACAACATCATTAAAATAAACAATGTGTGCGTTGTTTTACTCTAAATGACACTGATACTAGTCATTTAAAGTTTTCACTTTTATGTCCAGAACGCTTTCATTTGACACATTCCATTCTTATACCCCCTCAGACCAGACCGCCCTCCGTCTTCTGCCTGCGGTCAGCGAGGCATCGACGTCTCAATTGTAGAAATCATCTTTCATTGTGTGTCAGCTGAGATCAGATCAATTTATGAAACCAATCCTTCACAGCGTCCGGACCAGAAGGCCGCTCTGTGACCATTAACAGGTCTGAGTGGAACATCACCGAAGCCACAAACACCAGCCGCCCACTCGATATGCACGCGCTGATCCTGGGGCGCCATGGGGCACGTTGTGTTTTTATCAAATTGTAAAACCTAACGTGGCTTAAAATCTTTCATCCCAATCGCTGTTAGTCAGCTGATGTGTTAAGTATTATTGAACTCAGGGGCTCAGTTGGTAGAGCGTTGGTTTTTGGGCCTGATGGTCGTGGGTTCGATCCCACCACTACCCATCGCATCTGCTCCCTCTGATGTCTGCTGTCGTTGTGTCCCTGGGCAAGACACTAACCCCACTTTGCCTGAAGCCCCGCTGAAAGATCAAGGCCATGTCTGCGCTAAAGGAGCAGCCATCTTCCTGTGGACCCACCACTTGCCGGAGGATCAGCGAGGGACTGGTGCTGTATGAATTGGGTGGCAGCTCTGATTGCCACCCCCCTGACCCAGAAATGGATAAGAAAGGGATGAAAATGAATGAATGAATGAATGAACTCAAAACATTCATACCAGTTTGGACAAATATTTAGGCCCGAGCCCCGAACGGGGTAAGGGCCTATTGCTTTCACAATGGTGAAAACAAATGGTGGCGGTGCGTGACGGACGCGTCAGCGCCCGTCACTCGCCAAAACGTGACGGTTGCGTGCGTAAACTCAAAAGCTTTAAAATGATGTATCACGTGCCATTGAAACCTATATTGTTTTTGCTCGAGACGTCGAAAAAAAAATTCCTTTTTTATTTATTAGGCCCGAGCCCCGAACGGGGTAAGGGCCTATTGCTTTCACAATGGTGAAAACAAATGGTGGCGGTGCGTGACGGACGCGTCAGCGCCCGTCACTCGCCAAAACGTGACGGTTGCGTGCGTAAACTCAAAAGCTTTAAAATGATGTATCACGTGCCATTGAAACCTATATTGTTTTTGCTCGAGACGTTAAAAAAAAAATTCCTTTTTTATTAGGCCCGAGCCCCGAACGGGGTAAGGGCCTATTGCTTTCACAATGGTGAAAACAAATGGTGGCGGTGCGTGACGGACGCGTCAGCGCCCGTCACTCACCAAAATGTGACAGTTGCGTGCGTAAACTCAAAAGCTTTAAAATGATGTATCACATGCCATTGAAACCTATATTGTTTTTGCTCGAGACGTTAAAAAAAAAATTCCTTTTTTATTTATTTCTTTCTTTCTTTTTTCTTCTGCACTTTGAGCCTTAATTTGACCCCCTGAACATGCATGAAAAGTTGTTAATTTTGGCCCAAAAATCAGACCTGGCGAAAAATTTGATATTTTGGTGTTTATTTTTATGGGACTCAAAAAATGCCAGAACAGCGCCACCTACAACAGCCAAAATAATACCCCTATGGGACTTTTTGGAGGTCAAGTTTGTCGTAGAAACATGAGATTTGGTACACATGTTCCTTGAG